ATTTGCACTATATAGGGTGCTGTGAGTCTCTAGTAGTATGGATGCAACAATTTTGGGAACTATCGCAGATGTGAATAGTGCTGCAATGTGGCTCGCGTCTGATGCGTGTGCCATGCAGTATGGTCGTGGAAGGCGTCACCACTGCCTACATCATACTACACCAAGCCGAAATCAAAGTAGTTGCGTGCCATGCTCACTTCATACAAATGCATGAATTAATCATTCTTAGTTCGAAATAGATTCCCGATCGTGGCGTACAACGGAAAAGAGGGGTTTATTGCGGCAAAACAGACTCCAATAAAAATCACTTGGACCGACGTAACGCCATGTCGACATTGGTAGCCATATTTTGCTGCTTATTTCGACATCAGAGAAGTAGACATGTTCTCGCACCCATTGCCTATTAACTTTAACCATTCTATGAAACTTTCCGCAAGCCACACCAAATCACAGCGCTGGAAACGTTAAAACTGAGGTTATCGGGTCAGGTCGATGCGGTTATTCTGGTGCTCACTTTCTACAATATGCCTTGGGCAAACAAAGTTCAGCTGAAATAAACAACTGACATCAGAAGCACTTTACAGCACGTTTCAGGCTACTACTTATTGTGTGCATTCAAACACGCCCGCAACTTTAAGGCTTGTTTGCCAATTTTCCAACCGACACAAATAATTCAGCCATTCTTACCTGCCCACCAACCAACGGAAAACGCTGGGATGTAGGGTTATTGACAGCTAGAGTCCGAAATTGCGTACTTTTCCACGTGTACAGCCCACAGAAGCGTACGATTGTAATGATTCTGCCGAATTCTAAAGACAACAGCCGAAAAAAATTGGCGATCACAGGGGGATCTACGCCAAAACCCACATGATCAACTACGTCAGCAGACGTATTTGCATACGATACAAGACGCCGTTCCATCCTGACTTTGGAAATGAATTCTTAAAAGCAAAAGTTTGAAAATCGCCGATGGCAAGCGCTGGCTTCGAGTGCAAGAGCAGTAGTTCACTTCGCCCTGTGCTTCCTTCTTTGAGATGATTAAACCGCTGTTGTTTTGACGTCCCCTGCGTGAGTTTAGATCACAGGTCATTGAATATTAATCACTCTGGTGAAGGCCAGTGGCTGAACGGTTCTCTCTCGTTGTGTCGTCTCTCCTCCCATCCTCGCCTCTGTCCCCTCTCTCTCGCCCTCCC